GTTGTTGTGACCAATATTCAAATTTGTAATTGCTTATAGAATTTTCGTTAAGAGCACATTGCGAAACACTTTAATTGATCGAGAACAAAATGAAAGGGCAAAAGCCACAGAGCGGGAACATGTAAAGAATATAAAATAATAAGTGCAGTTTTTTAGAGAAAGGTTTGTGTTTTATCTCACAGTCACACATCATTGCGACAACGGCAAAATTGCTGAAAATGTTAATTTAGATTGTTAGTCCGTAGTTATAAGTTATATTTTAATTTATTTATTATCCATTTAATTAGCTTTAGATTAGTTGCAAGTTACTCTTGTTGTTGAGAAATTACATCAGTAAATACTTATATATGTGAATAAACTAATAAGAGGAAATAAAGTATCGTTTTTCTTTCGTTACATATATGTATATATATTCCCTGAACATAACATATACATTCACTGAACATACACATGTACTGTCGGAGATGCGAGTATATGAGACGGATGAATGGAGAGAGAAAAGAGAGCGAATCGAATACAACAAAAACCTAAAAGTAAAAAACCAGTAAGAGTTTGACATTGTCAGACAAAAGTTTTATGTACAGACATCTCGGTAGTTTTATTTAACGAACCCGTCGACGGCCCTTTGAAACGGGTAGTTTCTGTTGGTGCACGACACAACATGTATATTCACTGAACATTCCCAGAAAATACACATGTATATTCACTGAACATACCATGTACATTCCCAGAAAATACACATGTATTACTGAACATACCAGGTACATTGTCAGAACATACACATGTACATTCACTGAACATACCATGTACATTCCCAGAACATACCATAAACATACAGTGTATCAACTCTGACAGATTCCTGGGACATGCATGGAATGTTCATAATGTAACTCATGTATGTCCCAGGAATATGCATGTACATCACATGAATGTTCAAGGTATATTCTGGGAATATCATTTTGCTATGTGGGTTAAAGGATATGATCATGAGGATAATTGACAATTCAAGTAGCACTGAAAGTTTACAGTATATTCGAAGCCAAATTTTACCAACAGTTCAAGTACTCCACAACTCCAACAATATAATTTTATTAAACAAAAACTCAGTAGAAAAAACAAAAGCTAAAAAGGAACCTGCTAATAAATTATTGGAACCCTAATTGAGACTGTTTTCCGAAAAGAAGAAGGCACAGCAAAGTGTCGCTCGTATTGGAAAACCTTCATCGAAAGAAAAGAAATTGATTCACGCTCAAATTTTATCGTAGAGTAATGAATCTTTTAGTTGAATATTCAGTTCACTTCTTCATCGAAAGAGTCTTCGAAGAATCCCCCATCGAAATCTTCGTCTAATTCGACATGAACGTGTTCCAGAGGTTCTTCATTTAATTCACCGGCCGTCCCATCATCGCAGTTATTAGACTCATTYCAGAGTTGCTGCCTCACTGCTTTGATGAGTTCGGCCARGTCCTCTTTGAGCCCAATACGCTCGGCGTCCATATTTATGGTGTCCAAGCGCACCACGTCTGAGAATTGAGGGAATGTTGCGCTTTCGAAGCCRAACCTGTAAAAATATTCCTACTTAGTAAACTGCCAAGAGCCACCTTTCCCAACTTGCCTTTTTTTGAAGAAGTTGATCACACCATTCACATCCCTTTCAAAGTGCATTTTAGCATTTGCATGGTGAGTAAAAAGCATGTGTGAAAAATCTATGATGACTGGCCTCTCGTCGTGAGTGATAAAAATGTTGAACTCATTGAAGTCGGCGTGAACCACCCCGTACAAAGCAAATCTCATTATATTGTTCATCAGTTTGTCGTAAAGAGCTTTCACGTTGTTCAGTTCTTGCACGCGATGAAGAAGAGTGCCTGAAGAAGATGCCGTTTTAATATATATATGTATAGGGTTATTGATTGAGCTTTGGCCACCTCGTTTTTGCATCTAATTTGCAATTTAGAGAAAAATGTTAAATACAAAAGTTGTAGATATTAACGTTTAATAACATTTTTTAAATTGAATGCCGATCTTTTTATTGCATATTCGAATTGTCAGATCGAACTTTTAGGCCTATTAGAGAAGCCAAAAATAGTTTTTTTTTTCAATTTTCAACTGTTTTTAAATGGTAATGATCGGGACAAACAATTAACTGGAAAAGTTGTTGATATTAACGTATAGTATCTTTTAAGCTAATACCAATAGATACAGGATGTCCGAAATTCAAGTAGCAGACCAAACTTACATTTTTTAAATCGAACGCCGTTCTTTTTGTGGCATATTCGAACTATGCGTCAAAGTCTTGGGCAATTTGTTACAAATGTTCTATATTGGTTTTCAGCTGTTTTTCAGTTCATAACTGATATTGATTGAACTTTGGCCACCCCGCTTTTACATCTAATTTAAAATGTTGAGGAAAATGTCAACTGCAAAAGTTGTAGATATTAACAGCTAGTTTATTTTCAGAGAATACCAACATTTCTATCGCATAGAAATTCAATAAAAGTTACGGGCATTAATATCTACAACTTTGGTATTTAGCATTTTTTTCTCAATTTCAAATTAAATGCAAGAGCGGGGTCGCCAAAGTTCAAGCAATATTGGTTTTAACTAAAATAACAATAAGATTTATATCAAATAGGCCTAGAATTGTGGGTATAGTTCGGTTATGCAATAAAAAGACCGGCGTTCAATTTGAAAAATGAGTTAGGTTTGCCACTTGAATTTCATACACCTTGTATCAATCGGTATCATCTGAAAATAAACTGGCCATTAATATCTACAACTTTTGTAGGTATTTCACATTTTCCTCTAAATTTCAAATTAGAGGTAAAAGCGGAGTGGCCAAAGTTCAGTCAATATTAACTATTAACTCAAAAACAGACAATCAATGTGCAACATTTATATCGAATAGACCTGCACTTCGAGTTATATTTCGAATATGCATTGCATATGCATAAAAAGTACGGAATTCCATTTAAACAAATGTAAGTGTGGTCTGCCCCTTGAATGTGAGACACCCTGTATCTGTTGCTGTTGTCTTAAACTAAACTACAGTTTTATATTTACAAGTTTTTAATCAATAACTTTGTGCATGCACATTTACTTATGAAAGACTCACCTTTAATCAGTTCCATTACCACCCAATGTCGACTGAGGCCGTAGGGTTGAGGCACTAGACACTGGCGATCAAGCAGGACTTTCATACAAGCGAACTCCTTGGTCGCTGATCTGGCAGACAGGTTCAGTCAGGAAGCAGACTTTCTGTGGAAATTGACAAAATTTTTTTAAGTATTTCAGAAGGAAGAATTCGTTTTAAACAGTACCTTCTTTTGTGATGGTTAGGCTTGTTCACGCCCCTTTTAAAGTACAATAATCCACGCCGGTGCAACTTGAGGCATCTTTCCTGTTCTCCTGCAGACACAATATAAATATTCTTCTCTTTAACCACGCTAATCTCGCTTCCAAAGGCACCGACAGAATCGCGTTTGCGCAAGGAGATCAGCGCCAAGTAGTCGTATCCAGAAACGTTAAGGCTTAACCCCTCAGGCCTGGTGCCTCTCTCGTACGACAGCAACTTATGTTTCTGCAGGTTACCAATTATTTTGCCTGTGCGCCAGTGCCTCAAACGGGCAATCGAAGCCACTTCGCCTATCGGCACTGGCGCGTGGAGCGCGTGGTTTTCCATGCCCTTTTCCACGGCGGCGAGAACTATGAAATCGTCGTGAGAAACCTCATCAAATTTACGTTCAATTTTACCATTTTAAACGATGGATTTCAAAACTTGGTAAATAGAAAGCACAGCAAATAAAAAACACCGTACAACTTCGCACTGACCCGTTGGTTGCAAGTGAACTCGTCTCTATCTATGAGTGAACTGCTTCTGCAGCATAGAGTAAGTAAAATAAGAGAGGTGGCAATCTTATGGACTAGCGCATATATGCTAACTTGACTCGTTGTTTAAATGACATGCGCAAGTTAGTTTGAGGTTACGTTAATCAAAACACTAACCAACTATATTTAGGAAATTTATATCACTGTAGTTTTAATATAAAATCTCAAAAACACGTTTATTTTTATAGATGAAAGACACTGTCTGAATCATAAAAATTTGACGAGCCATTCATCGCAGTATGTCTTATTTTGTTCCGAGCTAACTCGCATGCGCTTTAGCCCTTGAAACTTTTTTAGGTTAGGTGTTAGATCTTTTGTTATTGTATTCAACAAAGAAGACCGCTAAAATTCAAAATTGTGTGTTCAGACCAAAGTATTAGAATTGATTAAAAGCATAATTTTAAATTGAAGGTAACACCACGTAATTACTCATGTAATATGATTTTTATTTGATATTCTCTTCCAGCAATAATGTTTAAGTGCACAATCTGCGATAAAATGTACGATTCAAAACAACAATGGAACAGGCATAATAAACTCACTCATAAATTGTCAGTCAAGTTTTGTTATGACTGTAAGCAATGTGAGAATACATTTCAATTTAAAAGAGCTCTTCAAAAACACCTAATAACAAGTCATAGTGAAAAGAAACTGCAATCTAAGCAGTGTGGAAAACTTTACAAATCATTGAAGACCCTAAAAGCGCACATGAAGATAAAGAAACATAATTGGATTAAAACAAGAAAGTCAAGACTAATCTGTCCTTTTAATGATAATTTGAATTTTTAGACGTGTCAGCGATTGAGGAAACATTTGGTAGAAAGTCATTCGGTGCAAATAACACCTGAACATTACACATTTAATACGGATGCAGGTACTTTATATGTTTAATGGAACAATAGTTGAATGAATTGTTTTGCTAAAAATGCTCTATAAATTTATAGTATTTAGTAGTAAACAATTCAACAATTTAAATGAATATGGTGCTTTTTAGAGTTTGATTATTGGAAACATACCATTGAAGACAAAATGAAAGTCAATTATGTTAAAGACAGTAGGTGTAGAACGCTAAAATCTGGCGCCGTACGATCTATTTACATATGCCACAGATCTTATGCCCCAAGAGACAAAAACAATCAATTGAAAAAGCGGTTTAGAAACTTAGATTCGAACAAAATTAGTAAGGCCTGTCCTTCTATTCTAGTTGTCACTACAACTCCTCATAAACCACTAGTTGTTTTGTATCCAGTTCATATTGGCCATTCAAATGAATTAGGACGGTTATCCATTCCTAGCATAGACAAACAGCAAATAGCAGGTAAATGTTTTTTAACAGTAAATAAATTTGTGACTACTGAATTACACATTTATGATTTTAGGTTAATTATCTCAGGGAGTGTCTGTTAGTCGGATTCTTAATGATATTAGAGCGGATATCTCTGAAGATGGAGTTAAAAGAATTCACTTAATAGAGAAACAAGACATTCATAATATAAAAAGATACTTTTCTATCGGTTATGTCACCAAAAGACATCAAAATGATGCAGTAAGTGTCAAATTATGGGTGGATGCGATGAATAACATGGAAAACAGCCCAGTATTATTTTATAAAGAGCAAGGATTAGAAGATGCAGTTTTCGATAAAAATGACTTCGTCCTCATTATCATGACAGATTTTCAAGCCAACTGTTTATCAAAATTTGGAAGTAACAAAATTTGTATTGATGGAACCCATGGGTTAAATGCCTATGGGTGTCAACTATACACTATTTTAGTAGTGAACGATTATGGCAGCGGCATGACGGTTGCTTTTTGCTTTTCAAACAGGCAGGACATAGCAATATTTAAGTTTATGTTTGAAATCATAAAAAAATCTGTTGGTGTGATAACAACGGAAGTTTTTATGTCTGATGACTACCCTGCTTTTTATTTGGCTTGGGAGTCAATAATGGGAAGGGTTGACAAGAGATTACTGTGTACTTGGCGTGTGAACCGAAACTGAGTACAAAATTTAAATAAGATTTATAATCAAGGAAAAGGAATGTTGGTTTTAAAATCTTTAAAATTAATTAAAACTGAACTGGATCAAGACATCTTTAAACAACAACTAAATACATTTTGCCAAGATTTGTTAATTGATAACGATACGTTGGCATTTGGGGAATATTTCCGAAGGTTTTATGTAAATCGTACCCAGTTATGGGCGTATTGTTTCAGAAAATACACTGGTATTAACACCAATATGTATTTAGAATCCTTGCATAAAGTTATAAAAGATTTTTACCTGGAAGGAAAAAGATGCAAGCGACTTGATAAAAATATTAATAGTTTAATAAATTTAGTAACAGATAAAATATTCGAACGGATAATCAATATTGAATAAGGTAAATGTAGCGTTAAGTTTAAGAAAAGAATAAGCAGAGTCATAGGAGTGCTGCGATATTTCCAGAAAAAATATTGTAAGAATTGATATGGATACTTTTTTTGTAACATGCTCGGATGACAGCTTGTGGGAATAATTGTCAACTGAATTGTGAAAAATGTCAAATTTGCGTGCATTCTTTTAGATGCAGGTGTGCCGATAACGTAATTAACTTCAACATTTGCAAACATATACATGCAGGTTGTATATATTTTTATGATGTTGGCAAAACATCAAATTTTATGGAAAATCCTGTAAACGCCGTTTCCGATAATTTAGTTTCACCGGAGAACATTACATTCTTCCGCCTGAAATCATTTAAAAAAATAAACTAAAGTCTGCTTTAGAACTTTGCCTTACTTTAAATAATAGTTCAAACGTGTCTAACAATGTTCGTGCCCAAATTTTAAAAAACACTTACAAATCTACTGAATTGTTCAATAATCACAGTAGCCACAGGATTGAATTTGAAAGCAAAAAAGTTAATATTAATAAAAAAATCCATAAAATAAAAAATAAAATAAAAATAAAATAAAATAAAATAATAAAATAATCCATAAAATAATAAAATAAAATAAAAATAAAATAAAATAAAAATAAACCATAAAATCTAGCTTGTGTCTCGATTTTTTTATATATATATAAATAATCTTTTCTGTAGGAAATAAAGATTATTTATATATATATAAAAAAATCGAGACACAAGCTAGATTTTATGGTAAGCGAAATAAAGAGAAGCAGAAACTTGAAAATTGTCGTCCTTTGCCTAACGAGGCAAAAATGATAAAGTTATCGTTAAGTCAAATTGCGTCAGTGCTAAATATTAGTACATCAGCCAATAATGATCACACTTATTTGTAGATTTGTATATAAATAAAGTATTTTGGTTTAAATTTAAGTGTTAATTTGAAAGTCAGCGGTGAACCTTACCTCAAAACAACTCTCCCAAATTTTCCCGCCGTTGTACTGCGTTTATGCGCATGCGAGTCATTTCGGAACAAAATAATCTACTGCGATGAACGGCTCGTAAAAATTTGATGACAGACGTTTGCTTTGCTTAACGTAACCTCAACCCAACTTGCGCATGTCATTTAAACAACGAGTCAAGTTAGCATATATCCGCTAGTTATCTTTGGGGCTTCCTTGTCACTGCGTTTTGCAGGTAGCGCTACAGCTGGCTGACCGGAGACTGACGGCACTAGAATATCGATTTTTCGGCCAAGAAGTTCTGGGCATGGACGAAACGTGCAGGACATTGAGAAAATAAAATAAGCGTCGGTTAGATCAGTTCTGTCCTTTTCCAACTTGCGGAGTAACGCGGCTGGATATTGTAGGGTAAAATTTATTTAAATTTAGTTAACTGTGCGACTGGTTGCCTAAACAGTAGGTTGGCTTCACACACAAAAAAGCATATGACTAGGTAAGATAGAAAGAGACGGCGGCATGTTTGACGTTTGACAAAAAAGACGCCGGGTTTTCCGGAACAGGGTAGTTCGTGGTACTCGGGGATGATTGAGAGATGCACAGCAGGTCAAAGCGACGTAGTAGACGACAAGACGCGGCTTGGCTGTAAAATTTAGAAGACGAATACAAGTTATAGATAAAGCTGTTACATAGTCTATATTTAGTGTTGTGGTGATAAGCCGAAATTCCTAAGAGTAAATGTAACCAGTAAGTTAACAGTGTGTTAGTTCGTTCAATCTCATCTATTAAACTTTTATCATTTAATACAATTTTGTGTTTCAATACCACGTATCCACTATTTTGGAGTAAAATCCTACAATATTATTCTTGATTTGCTATGTTGTCTGTGCGAGTTAAAATAATTTCATATTTCTAATACCTGTACGGGTATTAATACCTACAAATAATATTTGCTGTCGATATATAAGTATTGCATCTTAACACAGTAGTAATTTTTTGCTTATCTATTTATTGTTGGTTCTATAATTTATATCTGCATAAAGATGAGTCATCCTGATGATCGTATAAATGTAGATCATCAAACTGCAAAAATTCCTATTTTAAAAAAGGTAATCTTGAAAACTACGCAAAGAACCGGTATTCAAATTTGCTGATCCAAATAAAGATATTAATCGTCGCAGAAAATGGTATGAAATAATGGAATTCTTTCTTCTGAAAGAACGGCTTAGAATTAGGACTTTCCCTGGCTAAATTTTTTGTTATTTAATAGTTCAGAATGTGACAGAATCTTCCAGCACATAAGGCGAATACTTCTAGTGGCGATTCCTACTCCGATAAGGCAAAAGTTTCGCTACCCAGTTCTTCCTTTTGGGACTAATTGGAAGACAATTTGTGTTTTATTACTTAACAAATGTTATCTTACACTAAAATGTTATTTTATTTTGATTTAGGTATGCGTTTTATAGTCATCACTTCGAGATCAGCTGACGTGTAAGGGCGACTTGAGTGTGGAGTCAAACCTTCTGTCATAGTTGAGCTGATAATTACCATTTGTTATTCACACGTTTTGTTAAATATATTGTAACGGAAATGGCCTGGGGTACTCACGTTTGGAATGGGGGAATCGAAATTCATGGTATTTCAGTAAATGGGAGCCCAATTTGCGCCCCATTTACTGTCAAATATGACACTGACAAGCGGGAAATTTTGCACCTGGTCTGGATATTTCGAGAACCATCTGGGTTACCTGTAGGAAACTATATAAGCGACGACGAGAACCGGACAAAAAAAAAGTGAAGTGACAGCAGCGACCGGGTGCAGAAGAGTTTAAACCCCGCGAATCGGAAGACCGAGTTTTCCGTTTGTTATTGTTATTGTTTGTGAAGTTGACGTTAATTTAGAAGTTAGTTTGTTCCTGTTCCGTAGCTAAAGTTATACCGAGTGGAATAAAAGTTGAAAGCAGAAGAAAGAGTTTGATACTCGGCCATCCACGGTACAATATTATTAACATGGACGATTCGGCAGAATTAATGCAATATGTTCATTAATAAATGCACGAATGGGTTCCAAAGAGATACATACGAATTATGCAAGATCTTTTTTCCAGTTCTACGGAGAGCAGGAATTTGTTCAGAAATCGGTTTCGGAAAAAAACCGTTATCGATCTGTTTAGCTGTACCTTTAGCTTTAAGTAGAATTGGAAGTGCATGTAGAAGAGGTTAACCTATTCCTGCTCATTTGCAGCTTCAGATAGCATTAAGGTGATATAATATGCTACTAAAGTTTCCAAAGTGTGCTGATTATTTTAACAGTGAAGAAGAAGGTGTTACGACGCACCTTTAACGCATCTTTAATTAAAATGAAGAATGTTAACAAGAGCCGGCAGCGACCAAGAATGTGCATTTATATTCAAAAATAATATCACTAAATAAACGTAATATACAGTTCAAAACATTGGTCCATCCAAACCGGATAACTAATCAGCAAAAAGTAAATAAATCTACCCCAAAAAAAATATTGAAGAAAGCGGTGTCACGATTGAAAGTCCACGTGCATACAATTTATTGCATGTAAATTAAAGGAAGACAATTACTACAATGGAAAGCGAGAAATAGAAAGGTATTTTTATTTGACCCATTAAGATGTCCGAAGAATCAAATTTGAAAGTTAGGAAAACCTCGCTTAAAAGTAAACTTTCAAGGTTTTAAACTTTCTTAGGCAACATTAATAAAAATCAATTAAATGAAGAACTAGTCTCAGAGAGAGAATGCCGATTAGAA